TATTAAGGAAAAAAAGGGATTAAAGTTTTCAATTTATATTAAATATTATACATTTTTATATATATCAACATTTACGCTAAAGTGCAATCCAAAATTTCAGATCATATCAATATGCAGGCATCACTGGCAATATTCAGATGATAATAGCATTATCGTGTGTATATTTGATCATAATTGTCCAATTATATAAAAATACATCAGTTTCTCACGCATCTTCCAATAGCATGTGTCCATGATATATTTTTCTGAGTGTGGTATAATAAAGCATCATCATCACTATCACCACCATCATGTCATCGTTTCAAAAATAACTAACGGCGGGTGTGTTTGCAATCAACATAATTTGACTTTTTTTATCATCGAAAACAAATATCGAATTGTGAATTTATCTTGGTTATCTGGGGACCGGCTTAATGCATGGTGATCAGGATCATAAAAGCTTTCGTGTCATGATTTATGTGCATGTGGGTTGCACACAATCAACAATGAAAAAATATATATAGATCTTACAAATTTGACAATTAAATAAAAACAAATTTTTGATAGCTCATATCACATTTACTCCAAGTCAAATATAATAATAAAAAACAAGGAGATTTATTATTATTTCGCTCAGACAGAACCAACCAGTACCAATCAAAGGTGTGAATTACTAAGCCTAATAGTAAGTAGTATTAAAAACATATAAAAACCACAGGTAAATTAACGACCTGGTTTTTGTTTAGACCATAGAACTGCCCAGTCCTCATTCGTCACCTTGCCCTTGTAGTGGTAGTTTATGTTGATTAACTACGCAAATACTTAATAGTCGGTTCTCCTTTGCACAGACCTCTTTATTACTCTTTCTCTTCGCTGCGCTTTCTCCCCCGTCGTAATATGTAAGTGAGTGTTTTCATTTTTCTCAACGAAGAAAAGAGTAAACCTTCTTTATTTTCCTTCTCGTCTCTTTATATTAGTGTGTTACCCTTTTATTTTATTTTAATTAAATAATTATTAAATAGCTAAATAATATTTTTTTCCATTTCTACCAAAATCGCCCTTTATATAATTTTATTAACATCCAATAGATGGGGTTTATAATATTCTTTCCATACTGGAGAGCCTATCACACAAACTACGCGCTATTCTAACTTTAACTAATTATAGCCCGGTATGATCTATCAGACAGCTTACCCGCATATCTTCGGACAGCAGTACCGCCAGCACTATTTCCACACAATTATCAGAACCTGGCAACTCATCGTTTGAACCAACTTTAACCTCATCAACAGTATCTCATGAACATGCCTGTAGTTTATACTTCATCCGTTGTTGGGCGCCAGGTCAACAATAATAATAATGGAACAAAAGCAAACAACATCAGTCTTCTATTAATAACCACCATAATTACTCGAGCACTTTGAAGTTGGCCGATGGCCGAGTTCTCTTCGAATATGGTTTATCAAATGTTGCATTTTAAAGACCTTCCTCTATCTTGGCTAGTCTGTATGGTGCTCCACCTGCATCGAATCATCATAATATCTCACCAACTGCGAGTCCTCAGTTCAAAATTTCTGTAATCAGGTATGTCCATTTATCAAATAATAAGTTCATCATCATCGATTCATCTTTATTTACCGTTACTATTTTAGGTTCTTCAACTGACTCAGCTCTCAGAATCTTGTTTTTTTGTCACTTAAATATGTCCAAAAATTGGTGAAAAATGGAACAATGTCCACTGGGAATAAGAGATCAGAATATCATTTATTCACCGTTGCATTGATGCTGGCTAGCAAGTTTCTTGACGATAATACATTTACGAACCAAACCTGGTCAGAAGTGACAAATATTAGTGTCAAGGAACTTAACATTATGGAGATGGAATATCTCGATAATTTGGATTTCAAATTATTCGTGAGAGATACAGAATACATGTACTGGCTACAATGTCTTAATGAGTATACGTAAAAGTAACATCAACAGTCGCTTCATCAAAGAAATAAATCTACTTCGGATGCTTCTTTGAGAATTGCTGCGTCGACTGTCATCCTGCTGAAGCTCAGCAACAAAGGCAATAGGAACAAGAGCACCAACAATCTTGGACTCAAAGTCCAAATACTTTGCTACAGTCATATAAGTATACTTTGATGTCTGTGCCAGAGCCATACCAAGTTAAGATTGTTCATCGTTACTAGCCAAAAACGCAAACCACTACCACCACTAGTGCATATGTAATCCAACCACCTCAACCTCCTATTGAACGTGCTCAGCCACTTGGGCTTACTTCGCCTGTGCGTGCTAAGCAAGCGTTGATTAATTCTTATTATAGTCCGAATCGTAACCCTAATAATTCTAGCAATGGATCAACATCTCACTTGCAACACGTCAAAAGACATAGCATGCCAATCATCAATCTTGAGAATACAATTGATGAATTGCATCAATGTCAATCACAACCACCACGTCATCAAAAATCACCATCACCTTCAAATTTGAATCCTATTGGTTATCATCTTCCGCCAGTTATCAAACTTTGGAGGAAACTATTCATCGGCACAAGAGAATATCGATTTAAATTCGAAATCAAACGGACAACAATTTCCATACACTTTTAACAACAACGTTATGAATAATCTAATGTCTTCAAGTCAGTCATCAATTCAAAGTTCTACAATGCAACAACCCTTACTTCAGTTCAAACCAATAAATATCGTTGCTCAACAAAATGCGAATTATAACAGCGAGGAGTCGTTTTTGCAACAAAATAACTCAGCGACGATTAATAATTCTCAACAGCATCTTCAATCAATGCCACTTTTGAACGCGGATTTGCTGATAACCCCAAATTCTAAACCCTCGGGTTATTCTTCAATTTTTTAAAGAATCTCAAATGATTCGACGTCAACATCAACTTTTCCATCATCATCAGGACAAGGTATTACCGGAAGCTATAATTTACGATCCTTTTCATTTCCGCCTTATGGTGTAATCAACAACTTTGCGAATTTGAGAAAGACATCGAATAGCACAACCCAATATCGTCAACCGTCCTTATATTCTACTTCAACAACGATCACGATGCATCGTTGAATGCTCATTTGAATAGAACGCCACCTTTGTTTCATCAACGTAGTAATGGATCGCATAAATTCCATAACTTGGGAAATAATTCTTTGTATGTGAATAGTAATCCACCAACGCCTGTGGATCTTCCTATGGTTCCAACGGTGCATCCATCCACGTCTCAATATCATTCACTTATTGGAAACAATAGAAATTGTTCAAATTCCATTATTGGTCCTAATTATAATAATAATGCTGCTGGAGTGACTTCTGGGCAACAATTCCCCTCCACGAAATACGCCCAGTTGCACTACGGATCTGTTCAAGCTCAGCAAGGCATGAACATAATAAATGGAATCGGTCGTTTTGCCTTCCCTTTTCTTAGATCTCATAATAACAACACCAATAACAGCAATAATCTTCAAATTTCTGCTAAAAAGGTAGAAGAAGGTATCGCTGTTAATCTGGTGGATCTTTTGATTCGGCCCCTGTTATGGTTGCTCCCCCCGGTTTGAGTGTTGTTGGTAGGTTTGGTGCCCCAATTGAATGTCTTCAATCTTCATTACATGGTACACGTCCATCGATCGGAGCCGGTATGGATTATAACAACACGTGTACTAGGATTGGTAATGCTGCTGCTGCTGGAACAACTAAAGTTGCTGTAAATACTGAGATGTGCGCTGCTAATGTCAATTCGACGGCAGGAGGTGGTTACTTTTCGCGTGTAGTTAATGGAGTTGGAATGGCCTAATAATTGGTCTGTCTGCCTAATCTGAAAGAATTAAAAAAAATTAATCAACATCATATCTAGAAGGGAATGAAATGAGGAGGAAATTATTTGAAAATAAAGAATTTACTTTTTTGGAGGAATAGGATACATTTTTGCTATATCGAGAAATTTTTTTAATACATCTTTGCAAAATTCTTGTAAGAGGAATAATGGAAAGACGACTGTGAAGATGGAATCGATTAATCTTTCATTTTCGGATGGTCTCTCCTCCCTTGCGATAATACAAAATTAACAACAAGAATTACTACTAAATAATAACAAAGATTTTACATTTTTTTTACTACTGCTGAGATTAGCAATATACACAGCATATATCATATATGCGATTTTTTTTTCTTTTCTTTTATTAATGTATCGAGACATGTTCCCTTTATTTCTCAACATAATTTAGATTTCTTTCCGTATAATTTTATATTATTATCCTCTATATTACTTACTAGTTAGTATTTATCCGACTTGCATATTCAATCAATACTTGGTTTATATATACATATATATAGTTCCCCAGCAGGTTGAGAGATATTAATAATTATACGTGGTAGATGGGAAGGGTTGAGGAGGAAATACGTAAATACCATCACTACCGTCAAGACTAGTAGTATTTTAGTTTGTCAACCAGCCAGTTAGCCAGATATATGTCAATCTATCAATCTATCGATCTATAACATTTTTTCTCATCGAATTTTCCAGTTCACTATTTTATATTATTTATATATATGCGTGTGTACGTTTTTTTAACTGTTACAACTTTTTTACTATTATCTGATGATATATGATATTAAAGTTTATATTTACTGAGATCTCAAACTTGGGAATCTAATTACTAAATACATTCTTTATATTCTGTATATACAATACTTCTATAAGTGTACTTCATGTGATTTTTAAGAATTACGATAGCATGGATCTAATAACTTCATGTATTCATAAATTAGTCAATCAAGTCATCTGATCATTACCATTGAACTCCTGAGTATATCTTATTATGATTCATGGTCACGACAAAAGATACGATTTTTAATTAGTATTTCAAGAAAGATTAGACATTAAGCTTTTCTTGTAATATTCATTTTTTATATTTGTATCAGATTGATTTGATCAAAATTTGCATTCTCTTATTGAATATGAATCGAATAATGAAATATATTATTTTTTAAATGAATATCAAAAGTAATATAATGCTTGATTATAATTAGTAAAATACACAATTTTCATCTCGTATAAAAGTATTTAAATTTATTAATGAATATTTTTATGTTTAATTTAGAATTCTCTCTACTTAGATATATATTTTTTCGAAATTTTCTGAATATATCATGTAAAAATAATTAATTTTTATTAGTTATTAAAACTCAATTAACTTTACAAATATTAGAACTTCTCATTCAGAATAAATTCAAAAAATCTGAAAATATATATCAAATAGAGAATATCTAGTTTTATTTTGAGCTAAAACAAAAATTATTTATTTATAATTAAAAATTTTGAATAAGTTGAAAGATATATTTTACTAATTATTGTGAAAGCTTAAATTGTATTTAATATTCAATATATATTTTTAAAGCTTAAAAGTAAATTTTTTTTTATATATTTTTTATATTATAAAATATTTTAGATATTAGTTTGAAAATAACTATAATTATATTAGCTAAATAAAATTTTATTTAATAATTTTTAATTTTTTAAAATATAAATAATAATTTCTAAAATAAATCAAAATTCTGTCTAATCATGACTGAATAAATTAATAAAAAATTATATAATAATTTTAATATATATAATATTTAATATTTATTAATTAAATCTTATAGTAATATTATTATTCAATTTTTTAATTATAAAAAATTAATTCTAATTTATAAATTTTAATTAATTTTTATAATATATAATAATGGCCAAAGATAATATATTAAGAAGTCAAATTTATTAATAAAATTTAGTAAAAATTAAAATTTTTCTTTATATTAAACTTTATAATTTTATTAATAATTAAATTTATTTTATATTAAATTATTTATAATTTAATATATATTTTTCAGATTTTTAAATTTTTCTGAAAGAATTATTAAGTTATTATAATATTTTTTTAATTTTTAATTAGAAAAAATTTTATAATAACTTTGTAATTAGAATAATTCTTTTAGAAAAATTCAAAATAAATCTATAAATATATATAGTAATAATTACAAATAATGATATATTTTAATTTTTTACTAATTATAATTAGTAAAAAATTTTAGTATACTTATAATTATTATTATATTAAAACTATAAATTATTTAATATAAAATAAAAAATATTTATTATAAATTATAAAGTTTAATATTGAGTAAAATTTTAATTTTTTTAATATTTTATTAATAAATTTAATTTATTAATATGATTATTAATTATATTTATTCTATAAAAATATACTTTTAATTTAATTTATTTTTATTTAAAAATATTATTTATATTAAATTATAATTTAATATTTTTATATAAAAATAAGAAAAATAAGCTTAATAAATTTTTAATATTTTTATATTTAAAGAGAATATAAATATTTTTTAAATTAATAATCAATTAAAATAATATAAATGATTATTAAATTTTTTAATTTTATAATATAAATTAGATTAAATTATAATATTTAAATATATTATATTTTTAAAATCTTATTAAAATTTAAAACTAATTCATTTTATAATAAATTCTAAAATTTTATTAATATTAAAAATATTATTTAAATATTTTTTCTTATTATAATTAATAAAATTAAAAAAAATATAAAAAATCAAATATAAAAATTATAAAAAATATAAATTAGTAATAAAAAATATTTAAATTTCTAATCTTTATTATTATAATAAAGAAAAATTCTAAAAATTTATATTATAAAAATAAATTAAAAAAAAGAGAAAATAATAAAAAAATTATTATAATAAAATGATAAAATAAAAATACATATATCAAAATAATTAAATATAATAATAAAATATAAAAAATAAATAAAATATAAAAATAAAAAAATATTATAATAATTTTCATAATTATATAATTAAATATAATAACAAAATATAAAAAATATTATTATAAAATAAATAAAATATAAAAATAAAATTATTTTTCAATAAAATTATAAAGTTTAATATAAAAAGAAAATTTTATTAATAAAATTGATCTTTTAATTTTATAATTATGAGGATTACTATATAATATAATATAATAAATAATATAAAAATTCTAAATTATAAAATTTAATATAATCTTATATTATTAATAATATTATAATAATATAATTTGTTTAATTTTTAAAATTTATATTTATTATTGTTTATTTAAAAATATAATTATGAAATTAAAGAAATTTATAATTTTTTATTTAATATTATAATATGTTTATAATAATTATTTAAAACTACTTAATATAAAATATATTTTATATTTTTAATTATTGAAGAAATATTCTAAATTTTTTGTTAAATATTTTATATAAGAATAAATGTCTTATAAGATAATTTTTCAATATTAACTTATTATAAAGTATATTAAGCTTTCTCCTATATAGAACAAATCTTAAATAAAAAACTTTATTTAATTACTTAATAATATCAAGACAATTTCATTTCATAAAGCATAGTTAAATTCTTGAATTCTATTAAGTTCAAGAAGTTTTTGAAAAAGAAACTAAATTTTCACAATTAGCCGGGGGTGATCTTAGTAAGTCCTAAAATACTATGCACAATTTTTATAAAACAAGGCTAACATAAGTTTGTATTATATTTACTTCATATTTGGTATCTTGCTGATTGCTATCAATAGTTAATAATACAATTGTTGCACATACCTACTCAACGATTCTCTTAAAACATACATATTACAACGCTTCTATTATTTTAAATTCAGATTTCACTTTTGAATTGGAAACATTTTCAGTTTCATCAAATATTTTAGTCACGCCCATAAAAAAAGCTTTTTATTGAATTGTTCTTTTGTTTATTAGACTCTCAGCAATGATATTTATTTATTCGAAAACTGATAGTTCCTTTATCATTTGATAAATGCTAGCAAAATGCATAAAGTTGAGTGATAAAATGATAAAATATGAAAATAGTGCTTCGAGAAAAAAATGATTATGTGATGCATCTGGCTACGCATACAGATTTATGAGGTTTAATATGTACAGTTGCCACAGAAAGTAACGCCTGATTTGCATGTGCAATAACATGGACAAATATATGCAACTTTTGTTATTGTTGACCTAAGTAATTTTTTTATTTTCTTCTTTTATTTTTAAACATACACTAGGCAAAATTTGTTAAATTTAATTGTGATACCTGTTGTACAGCGTTGACAAGAGCAAAATAGTGATTTTTATTAAAGTTAAGCAAGCAGCAGAGACCAAAAAGTCTTAACGATCAAGAAAAAAAAGTACACATTTAAAGAAGTCAAAAAGATAACCTGAACCATTTCACATCATTGGCAATAAACAATCTGTGTAAAAGCTTACCTGAAGGCATTCAAAGATAATTTTGTCCCCTTTCATAATATAATACATTATTTTGAGAAAACATGATGTTTCAACAAATAACACTTGTTCCACATAGGGAAAGAAGTCACGAATAGGTTCAAATAGAGAAAATCAACGATTAGCGTGTCCTCGGGACCCTAATTTTATAGAAATGCCTGCAAGTCGTTGGAAAACAATATTAAAAAGTGCCAAGGATCGTGAAAAAGCTCAAGGTTACTCTGAAAAAGCATGATCAAAATTCGATATATAGGTTTTGAGGCTCCTTGCCTCAAGAATTCAAAGCGATGTTAAAGCTGTGTGAAGGGACTGATGATGTATTAATTAGTAATTAAAAAGAAACTTGTATACATAGGACAGTTATAAAATAAATCGGATATATATCTGAAATTCCATTTTTAAAATAATTGGTCGTTACTTTTTATGGCGACTGTACTTCGTGCCGATATTATCTTATCAATATTTTGGATTTTTGGATCACATGTATACATGTATAGATTTTCATCGTAATTTGCCATCTAAAATGTTCGCAACATTAATAGGAAATTATTTACATCAGCATCAAAAAAAATCAGATTCTGTTCTTTAGGCAAAAGATTATATTAACACAGATATCAAACTAAAAAAAAATGTAAGATACGTACATAGGTGCCACTTCTCAACGCGTTTTTATATTTTGTCCTAATAGTAATTTTCGGATACTTGGCGGGGTTGTTGTCTTTGAAATCGCTGGATCTCTATCGAGAAGTTGGCAAGGCGATCTTACAAATTAGGTTAGCGATAAATTTTTCTTTGTACCGTATTCTTCCAGAATAAGCGCCCATGAATAATTATTTTGGAGTCTAAAACTGGAAGAATACGGTAAGCAACTAGATAAAACTAGTGATTGCCACCATATTTATTATTAAAGTAATTTTTTCATGTAAACAGGTACTACTGGTACGTCGTGATAGAACTCTGATTATAGAACGATGATTCCAGTTTTCCTTATTCTTCATCATATTAAATCGAATGCAAATGAGCATTTAAAAAAAAATTAGTAGACTTTTCAGTAAACACTAGCAATCAATCATCCAGAAAAAGTGAACTTGAAATTTGTCAACTTGTTTTTCCTTGATTTTATTTACGTGTAATATCACTGCAGATACATGTAACATCTTTTATTACACTCAATGCAATAAAAAATATTTGTTGTTATTGTGTTAGATCGGTACGAGTTCTACAAGTTTGTTCTGAACTTATCCAAACAGGACACTTCTTTAGCTTTTGGCGCCCAATTGTAACCTTTTACGTCAGATTTACTATATCTAATGTGTACCGACTTCGTAAATTCTTCGATGTGTACATGTACGCACACATCATCAACTCTCAATATATGTGCGTACATAAAAATAGCACACATTTATCGGCACATTTCTCTATTGTCAGGGACCTGCAACCTTTTTTTCTAAATACGGGTAAACCTACGTAATTGTGAGTTTGATCAAATTTCGTGCGACAGTGTTATGATAATTTTTGCCTTAACTCAGAAATGGAAATTTCATGTGGTACGAAGGGGTATTGTGTTCGTTTTTAGTATCATCGTTAGGTGATATGTTTGAGAACGAGAAAGGAATTATGTGCATGTAGATTGGAAAAATAACCAGTTGGAAATAAATTGCAATTAGTGGTCAGGAGAGTTTTAAAATAAGAATTCTTATCGATGCATGTTCATTAATTGGCTACGCGCTTTGAACGCTTAACTTCTTGACGTTAATGTTGGTCGAAACTATGCATAATTTTTATTCCAAATTTATCAAATAATCAAATTTTTTTGCAGGTCCCTGCTAATTGTGAGTGTGTATTTAGCCAAAAGATTAGATAGAAAACCCATAAATAGCAATTGGACAATAATAAGTGACTAATTAACGTTAGACCAATACATATTATCATCGTTATAAATATACATCTGCGACAAAATCAAACGTCAATTATTTAAAATGACATCGTCATCGTCTTCGCGTAACGGAAACGAACGGCTTGAGCTTGCGATCCTAGAAAAGCAAATAAAATTTTACGACTTTGAGAAATTTACAAACAAGGAAGTGGTTGGCATCGGAGCATTTGGCGAAGTGTTAAAAGCCGATGTGATAAATAGTGATTTGACGGTTACGCTAAAAAGATTCTGGATAATAAATGAAAAATCCAAGACAGAGATCAATAATAAATTTATTAAAGAGGTAAACATTATTAACTAAAAAAAATTTTATTTTAAATCACCATAATATTAACTTATATGGATCTGTTCTGTTGATAAAAACATGTTTCTTAGATCCAGTTGCTTGTTAAACTTAAACATGAAAGCATTATTCGATTATATGGAATTACACAAGGTAAAAACCAACATAAGAAATTTCTTTTCTAAACTTCGAGCAAACACTTTTACAAAGTTTATGTAATAGATCAAACTTCGAATGGATACTTACTCGTTTTGGAGTATGCTGACGGTGGCACTCTGAGAGACTACTTGACTAGCAATCGAAAACTTACCGGTGATAAAAAGTTAAAATTAGCATTACAACTAGCGGAAGGTTTAGGATTTATACACGATTCCGAAATGATTCACGGAAATCTTGTAATAACCTTTTAGTTCTATTTAAAAAACATCCGGTTTTTTTTTTGTTAAGAAAAATCAATCCTAATTTTAATTAATTTTACCAAACACTAGAACCATAATAATGTACTAGTGCAACAAGAAAAAATCAAAATTTCCGATCTAGGATATTCAAAACTTTCAAATGATTATTTCAATTCGAGGGCTGATTATGGAATCATGAGCTATATCGATCCGGCATTTTTACTGAATATTGATAATTATCTACGAGACGAAAAATCAGATATCTTCAGTCTTGGGGTTCTTTTTTGGGTCATATCTAGCGGACGAATGCCATCCGTCCAATACGAGTTTGCACTTTCTAATGCCGTAGATGAAAAAGAAATTACAATCTTTGGGACGCCTAGCGAATACGTTGCACTATATAAACAATGCTGGGATAATATACCTGATAATCGACCTGATATCCATGAAGTGAATCAGAGACTTAAAAGAATCGAGTGGCTTTCAATGGAAAAGGATGATTCCTCAGAATTATCAATCGATTCATCTGACAGTACTATAGCCCACACTTTTCAAAGTAATTTGGACGAGTATGAAATAAATTTGGAAGACATATTACAGCTACAATTAAATCCTGAATTCAGAACTACAGGAAAGTCATTAGAACTAATAGTGATCGAATTATCAAGTATTTTACACGATATGCTCAATTCTGGCGAAAAAAAAGAAAAAACAGCACAGGAACTACGCATATACATTAATGAACATATCTGCATTATCGAGCAATTAAATTTTGTTTTGCACAATCACCAAGATACAATTAGCTCAACTTTGTTGGGCTTTTTCTATCAATATGGGATAAACGTCGATAAAAATAGTAAATTGGCGTTTCAAAAATATCATAATTCAGCAATTCAAAATGATGCATTGTCACAACTTCTGCTTGCCGATTGCTTTCTAAATGGAATTGGAGCACAAAAAGATGAGGAAGAAGCATTCAAATGGTATTTGAAATCAGCAGAAGGTGGAAACGCAGGAGGGCAATCCACCCTTGGTTTTTGTTACCGACATGGTATAGGAACCAACAAAGATGAGATAAAAGCCTTTGAGTGGTATTTGAAATCTGCGGAGAGTGGAAATGCGAAAGGACAATGTAACCTTGGTTACTGCTATGATAAAGGGATCGGGACACAGGAAGATAAGAGAAAAGCATTCGAATGTTATTTGAGATCAGCAGAACGCGGAAACGCTTTGGGCCAAAACAATCTAGGTTGGTATTATCAAAAAGGAATCGGAACTAGCAAAGACGAGATAAAAGCATTCGAATTATATTGGAAGTCAGCCAAGGGTGGAGATGTGAATGGGCAATGTAATCTTGGTTTTTGCTTTGATAAGGGGATCGGAACGCAGAAAAATGAGAAAATGGCTTTCGAATGTTATTTGAAATCGGCGGAAGGTGGGAACGCTTTAGGTCAAAATAATCTTGGTTGGTGTTATCAAATCGGTTTTGGAACACAAAAAGATGATGAAAAAGGATTTGAATGGTATTTGAAGTCAGCAGAGGGTGGTAGTGTTATTGGACAATGTAACCTTGGTTGGTGTTATGCTCAGGGAATTGGGACACAAAAAGACGAAAAAAAGGCTTTCGAGTGGTATTTGAAATCAGCAGAAGGTGGAGACGCAAGGGGACAATGCAATCTTGGTTGGTGTTATGAACAGGGAATCGGAACACAAAAAGATGAGAAAAAGGCTTTCGAGTGGTATTTGAAATCAGCAGAAGGTGGAGATGCAAGAGGACAATGTAATCTCGGAGCCTGCTATCGACATGGCGTAGGAACTAATAAGGATGAGGTTAAAGCATTTGAATGGTATTTGAAGTCAGCAAATGGTGGTGATACTAATGGACAATGTAATCTTGGTTTCTGTTATAATAAAGGGATCGGAACACAGAAAGATGAGAAAAAAGCATTCGAGTGCTATTTGAAATCGGCAGAAGGTGGGAACGCTTTAGGTCAAAATAATCTTGGTTGGTGTTATCAAAATGGTTATGGATCAATAAAAGACGAGGAAAAAGGATTTGAATGGTATTTGAAATCAGCTGAGAGTGCAAGTGTTATCGGACAATGTAATCTTGGTTGGTGTTATGATCAGGGAATCGGAACGCAAAAAGACGAAAAAAAGGCTTTCGAGTGGTATTTGAGGTCAGCAGAGGGTGGAGACACAAAAGGACAATGCAATCTTGGTTGGTGTTATGATAAAGAAATCGGAACACAAAAAGACGAGAAAATTGCTTTCGAGTGGTATCTGAAGTCAGCGGAAGGTGGAAATGCAAGAGGGCAATATAATCTCGGATCATGCTATCGACATGGAATAGGAATAAACAAAGATGAGATAAAAGCACTCGAATGGTATCTGAAATCAGCAGAAGGTGGTGATGCTTTAGCTCAAAACAATCTAGGGTGGTGTTATCAAAATGGTTATGGAGTACCAAAAGATGAGGGGAGAGCAATTGAATGGTATTTGAAATCGGCTGCGGGTGGAAATTTAATTGGACAATATAATCTTGGTTGGTGTTATGATCAGGGAATCGGAACACAAATAGATCAGAAAAAGGCATTCGAATGGTATATGAAATCAGCAGAGGGTGGCGATGGAAGAGGACAATGTAGTCTTGGCTGGTGTTATGCTCAGGGAATCGGAACACAAAAAGATGAAAAAAAGGCGTTCTTATGGTATTTGAAGTCGGCAGAGGGTGGAGATGCTTTAGGTCAAAATAATCTAGCTTGGTGTTATCAGAATGGAATCGGAATAAAAAAAGATGAGATAAAAGCATTTGAATGGTATTTGAAATCAGCCAAGGGTGGTAGTGTTGTTGGACAGTGTAATCTTGGTTGGTGTTATGATAAAGGAATCGGAACAACAAAAGATGAGAAAAAAGCATTCGAATGTTATTTGATGTCAGCAGAAAATGGTAACACAAGAGGGCAAAGTAATCTCGGATTCTGCTATCGACATGGCATAGGAACCAACAAAGATGAAAAGAAAGCATTTGAGTGGTATTCGAAATCAGCAGAGGCTGGAGATACTTTAGGTCAAAATAATCTTGGATTTTGTTATCAAAATGGTTATGGAACACAAAAAAATGCTAGTAAAGCGTTCGAGTTATATTGGAAGTCAGCAGAGAGTGGGGATGCTTTAGGTCAAAATAATCTAGGGTGGTGTTATCAAAAAGGTTATGTAATACAAAAAGACAAGAAGAAAGCATTCGATCTATATTTAAAATCAGCGGAGAATGGGAACGCAAAAGGACAATGTAATCTTGGATTTTGCTATCGACATGGTATCGGAACCAACAAAGATAAAGTAAAAGCATTCCAATGGTTTTTGAAATCGGCAGAGGGTGGGGATGCTTTAGGTCAAAATAATCTTGCTTTGTGTTATGAGAAAGGGATTGGAACACGGAAAGATAAGAAAAAAGCGTTCGAATGGTACTTGAAATCAGCAGAGCGTGGAAGTGCTTATGGCCAATTTAATCTTGGCTGGTGTTATCTGTTCGGTATTGGGACTTTAAAAGATAAGAAAGAAGCTAATAAATGGTTTGGGAGTGCGGCTAAAAGTGATTTTAAATTTCCATTATTTGCGAAGATTGTTTTATTTTTTCTTGTTTAATCGTTTCGTTTCTTCTTTTAAATTCTCGGAAAAATTTACTATTATCAAACTAAAAAAGCCTTTATTATTTCTATGTATTTTTCATATTTTTCAATTTTGTCTTAATAGCACTATATAGCTGATTCAAATTTTTAATAATAGGATCATTTTTGTTTATTATTTTTATATTCTAGAATAAACAATAATATATGTTTTTGTCAATAATGTTATATATTCTTTGTTCCTTTGTAAATCAAGTTTAAAACTTCGCGAGCAACTGGCTATAAACTTAACCATATCAAATCAAAATTAATATTTCTAAAACTACAATTGAATACCGTGATGAATTATCAAAATATAATCTCTTTTGTTTTATCAAGAAATTCAATTTTTTGCAGATTAGATTAATTCTTTAAAAAACATATATTAAGAAATTTTTTATTACCAGATAAAAATTGAAAATCCCAACAAAAAAATGAGAATTTACATTTCATTTTAATTTAACAACGTGTATTACATCAGAAATATTTTGAAATAGATAATAAGTTATTAAACTGTTAGATAAATCCAATAATATAATTTGAGTGAAATTAAGAAAATAATAAAAATTTATGATTAGATTTATAACAATTTTTAATCTAAAAAATTTTGGCAATAAGAAATCACATTTTTTATCAAGTAAGTATCTGTCTAAATTTTTATTTATTTATTGAACAATTAATTGTATTTCAGTTTTACCCATGATAAAATACATGTCTAAATGTCTTAAATATTAATTTTACTACATGTATAAGACACTCTATGAACTTTCACTTTTTCGAAACTATTGTTGTAAATTTCTATGATCATAGAAAAAATTGCTATTAAAGACTATTCAAATACCGATTCACACAGTACATGTGTAAGGGTCATACCAATACTTTGCACAACTGTTTGATAACGTTCGTAACGTAATTAATGCATTTAATAATACATATACATGTAACTAAAAAGGTATTTCGCAAGCTAATACGAACTGTTAATGTATACATGTAATTGTTTTGTTTCATGACGTCGTTTTCATTGAAACTTGCAATTTAACAAAGATAAATACATGTATTTGTTTTATAGCTCACTCTATCGATTGGATTGAAAGAATGGGCAACCGAACCACTAACTGAGAAAAAAAATGCTCACTGGAATTATGAAAGTTAAAAACGTCAAAGAACAAATAGAATAACAGAACATTTTGAAAAAAATAACGGACAGAATAACGGTCAAAATGATATTTGCACAACACGCAAAGAATGGTAATAAGAGTTTTCTGGGATTGATAATACATGTAATAACAACAGAAGCAAATGATGGAAACGAGGATAAAAAGAGTCAGTCAGGTTATGGGCCGGTTCAAAGAATGGAAACGGAGATAGAACAATAATAAAGGAGATACATTCAGCGTTATACTGCATACATGCATAATAAAAAAGTGCTTTAAAATGGTTGTTTCATGTACATGTACATGTATAAATGAATCGGTCAGTGGACTCCGTAATGATCAGCACGTTAACTTTCCCAAAAGATTATTTGGATTCAATTGTGTCCCAAATAATAAAGCAAATTTCAAGAATAATCTTTTCAATACGTAAAAAAGAAAGAAAAAAACCTGAAAACGGTATTCCAACACAAACAAATATCTACATAGAAAATATGAGATGTGTATTTTCTTCCAATAATCGAGAGAGCAAAGTATATTTATTTCGTTTGGAACTAATTGTATGTTCCAAATCTTCAAAAATCAGCAGACAATCCGACAACCAAAAATAGTCCTTAAAAAGAAAATTGCTCAATAATTCATCTCATTGATTTTGCATTCAGAAAACAAGGAATTTAATCAATTCATAGATACAAAATTCGAGGAATTTCGTGTTTGGTATGAAACCAAATTCACGCCATCCAATAAAATACAATAAATTTATAAATAAAGTTAAAAAACTGAGATCACTGAAAAACTGGAAATTCTCGAAAAACTTGTAATTGAATTCTGGAAAATTGCTCACAATCAAGGATACATGTTTACAAAATTAGAATTTGAAAATTTTTGTACTTTGTGTGCATACAATTATACATATCCAACAGAAATTTCTTTTTTCTAGAATTATAAAACATAAAATAAGAAAAATACAGTCATCTATCTTTAGAAACCTCTTTATAGGTGCACACCTATATTTGGAAGCATATAAGATTTAAAAATATCTTTTTATAATCTCTTCCAGAAAATTCTTTTTTTATGAAATGA